GGGACTCCGCCCAAGCCTTTTGTCCTTCCCTTTCACCTTGCCCCAACTAAGCTCAGGGGCTATAGATATGTTAATTGAGCCTGAGAAACCAAGTTGCGGGCCTGGGATTCGAACCAGCAAAGTACGATGTAAAGTTACCTGAGTGTCTGGAAAATTACTGATGCTAGCTGTATCCTGTTTTAGTCCCTCCCAGCTTGGTGTGAAGCTCCTCCCCTAAATAAAACGGAGACGCTGGCTGGCCCAGGTGTGCATTACAAGTTGGAGGGCATGCAGTAAAGATTGCAGAGCAGTGAGTTGCTGCTTGCAGAGGCCACGATGCCTGTAGTCCGAAGTCTGCCCACCAGTGATGCATCCACCCTGGTTTCGGGGTGCCTCTTTGTCCACCTCCTTCTGTCTGTCTGTGTATTCTTTTGCTATCCCTATCGCCGCTGGATCTCCCCTCCTCGTGAACCAAACACTCGTGAACAACACAACTATGTTGAGGACAGTCCCCGACAGAAAAGCACACAGTATACTCAGGAAAATATAAAAAATATCTAGTCCATCTAGGGGATGGTACTTGTGGAGCAAGAAGTAAAGCCACTAGCTACCTTAGCTAGGCTGCAGGGGTTGGCTTTTTGGGGTGTGCTGTAGAGTGGGTGACGAGAGCATCTTGAGCAGCTCCAATTTCCTGTTTTGCGCCCCTCAGGATAGAAGCATGAGCCAGAGCATCTGTTAGATCCCAGTTAACGCCTGCCATGGTGAATTCCTTTCTAGGAGCTACTGGAAACTTTGATCTTCCCTAACAACTTCCTTGACTTTTTAGCTCAGAGAAGATGAACACTTCACCAGCCCTTGTACTAAGTCCTACCAACTCTGATTGCCCAGGACCTTGAATTACTGGCTTCTTCCTCCCGTTGCTGCACATTGTCCTGGTCACCTTCCGTGGTTGTGTGCTGACCTCTTATTTGTCAATCAACCCTCATCTACTCTATACCACACAATGCTAGGCTTTCTGCGGAGATTTAGAAAATCGTATCTCTCTCCTGGATTTTCCTCCCCAATCCTGAGCAAAAATACTGAGCTAAATGTAGCAAGTCAATGAAGTGTGTGAGAAAGAAAAAAAGAAGTAAAATAAAATTGAACACGTTCCAGTAAAGTGGTTGCACATTTGGGGGAAGCCAGGCCTGTACATACAGCATGGCCTCTGCAGTTGCATCTTGACTAGAGAAACCTAGAGATTGCTTTAGGTGAGGCCAACCTGTTGCATACATCCTTTACCTAGAAACCTCGAGTGTCAAGGTTCTTAAATGATGAGCCCTGGTTGTCTGGTGAGTTATGTGTCAGGCTGCTAGTCGCAAGATCAACAGTTTAAACCCACCCACTGCTCCTTGGAAGAAAGATGAAGCTGTCTGTTCCTCTACAGGTTTACAGCCTCGGGAACCCTAGGGAACAGTTGGAACAGTTGGACTTTGTCCCACAGGGTCAGGGTGAGTGAGAATTGTCTCGATGCAACTGCCACCTGCACTTGACTACCTACTGCCTTCCAGACCACACTAACAGGGTGATTTTATTTTATTCTTTTCAAATGAGGAGAGTGAGATCCTGGGGGTTCAGGAAGACTTATGTTAAATTATGCAGAATGTCACCACACTGTCACAGTGTTCTAGTCCCAATGCTTTTAGAAGTGAGTTTTCAAATTTCTACCTTCTGGCAGCATGGACTATGAGAAAGAACACTAGCTTCGTCTGAATCTAATTCTGTCCTCTGAGAAGTGACCAAACATAACTTTGTTAACTTCATTGTGCTAACATTTCTTTGTACCTATGCCAACAAAAATGTCTACCTTAGATGTTTACTGAGACTCTAGATATGGCTTACTGGAAATACCTAAGGCAGAGTCTGCTCCATAGTGAGTATATAATGATGATGAGGAAGGTGCGTACGTCTGTAATCAAAAGGAGAGCTCCTCTTTCATGAATTCTTTCATCTCTTGATGTAACTACTCAGGAACTCCCCTCCACAACACTGAGAGGGGATGTTCTCTTGATCTGATCTAAATTCATAGCGTAGTTTGCTGTTCATAGGATGGTGGTGTGTTCACACCACTCAGTATGTAATTGTTGTTGTTATTGTTGTGTGCCATTGTGTCAGTTCAGACTTATAGTAACCCTGTATAGGGTTTCTAAGACTGTAAATCTTTACTGGAGCCAAAAGCCTCATCTTTCTCCCACAGTATAAGATAATGATATATTATTATATTGATTATAATAATGACTAATAGTACAAGAGGCAGAGTATCAGACCTATAAGGCATTTACATTATACAAACCCATTTGTTCTAATTCATTTTTTTTTCTTAAATGTTTTATTGTGAATTATGTGATAGTTTACATGGGAGAACATTAGTTTTACATTCATTCTATCATATTGTTCTAATTCATTTTTGAACTGAATGAATGATCTATATGCTATTCCCACAAAAATGTTCAACACAAAAAGAGTCGCCTTTCTAACTCTTCCCATTCCCCTTCTTGGAGACAGTTACTTGTTGGTTTTAAAACATGGTTGCAAATTCTCTGACATTCCTGTCATCAAGAGGGTCATATACTCTATGACACCGATGTCTGTTAGGTGACCTTCTCTCTTCTCTGTCAATCAACACAGACTTATGACTGCTTTGGGCAGTAGAGTGGAGTGGAAGTGACTTTATGTGACTGAGATTAGTCACCAAAGACCAGGAAGCTTCCACCTTGTGCTTCTGGAACACTCAATCTTGGAGCCCTGACCTCTTACATAAAGCACCAAACTATGCTGGGGTCACCACGCTGGGAGGAAGCCCAAGTCCCGTGGAGAGACAACACAAAGGCACTCCTGCTGACAGTTCCCACTGAGTCCAGCCTGTGAGTCATCCCTGTCCAGGTTCCAGAACCTGAGCAACGATCCCTCTCGATGATTCCAGCCCCTACCCATGTGAATCACCCCCAGTCATTCAAGTTTCCCAGCTAAGACCCTAGACAACATGAAGCCAGAGCTTAACCATGCTTACTAGGTCCTATCCAAATGCCTGATCCCCAGTTCACGAGCAGAATAAAATGGTGGCTGTTTTCACATGGCTGTGTTTGGGGTGGTTGGTTATACAGCACTGGATCATCAGAACAATCACTAGCCCTGGATTATCTGTTCAGAGAAATTTCAGTTACACACAAGCATACACATTTTATGTATTTGCCTCTTTTTTCCTGTTAGTACAAAAAGAAGCAGACCATGTATACTGTTATGCACCATATTTTTTACAATGGATCTACTTTTAAAAGAATGCCTACTCACAGATTTGCGAACATCAGGTAAAGTAATCCAGAGAGGAAACACTATCGGGAAAACAATCAGGAAAGTGACTTGTTTTCGGGCGTTGGGAGGCCAGGCCAGGCTCAGGGGCTGGTCCTCTTCCTCTTCCCCCGCCTCCGTGGTCTGTTTCAGAAAGAAAGAGATTAAAAACAAACAGTCAAATAAACAAAAATGATAGTCATATGCACAGGACAAAGAAAATCTAGAAGACAAAAGTGGGAAGCTATGGGCTTTGTTATAAATTTCCTTATAAACTATATTTTGTTAGAAATGATAAATGATCTCCCAGTCACTTCCTACAGGTACTCACATTTTTTTTGGGTTGAAAGAGCACCCTATCTGCCACAGTCTGAGCCCTAAGAAAAGCAATACCTGGCCCAGCTATGAGAATCTCAGAACTTTTATCTTTTGAACACTCTTGAATTTCTCACTTTTTTCAACTGGTTGTTCATCTGGAGTGAACTAAAGCACCGATTTATGAACTTTTAATGAGAACTTGTGGCGCTGTGGGTTAATACGGATGACTGCAAAGTTGGTTTAAACCACAAGGTCGGCGGTTCACACTCATAAGCTGCTCCTCGGAAACCCTTTACAGGATCGCTATGGGTCCGAACCGACTTTATGACACCTAACAACAACAATGGTACTTTATCTGCAGAGCAAAAGACTCAAATGTGGGTTACCTCCTCCCTTCTAAGGACAAAGTCACTAGGATTCCAGAATCTGGGGGAAGGAGCGTCCTGATTTTGAGTGGACTAATGATAGTATCCGGCGTCCTGGTGTGGCGCTGTGGGTTAATGCGCCAGACTGTAAAGCCGTTTGAACTACAAGGTCGGCAGTTCAAGCTCACCAGCTGCTCTTCGAAAACCCTATACAGGGTCGCTATGGGTCGGAACCGACTCAACGGCACTTTCAACAACAACAATGATAATATTTACAGACACAATTCAGGAATAAGAGCAAAATTCTCTCTTACTGGCCCTGGAATAGTTTTACACGTGGATTATTGTGCAATTGTGAGTTTTTAACCGGCTTCATTTCCTCGTGTCATTGGAAACTATTTTGCTTGTAGCCAAAGGCTTTTGCAAACATACGCCTTGATCCTCTGATAAACAGAGAAAGAAAATTGAGCAAGACACTGAGCTGGTGAGTTTTAACCGCACGGGGCTCTGGAACAAGGGTTCAAACTTGAGCGTTTCCAATTCGGCAGTAAGTGGCGGGTGGTTTATCTGCAGACTACTAAAGTCAGCAGCTTCTTAAATCTGAGAAGTGGCAGCTACAGAAGGAGTATTTGGGCCCTGCAGGATGACCCTTAGCCTGTCAGATGGTCTCTGAAAGTCTCCAACACAACCCTGCAGATAGCACCAGTCACCTCCTCGCCTGCTTGTTTAAAAATGAAAGTGTAGCAGCAGGGCCAAGCATCAGATCTAAAAATACCAACAGGAACTTTTCGGCGGATGCATCCTTTTGAGACCCTATAAATATAACCCGCACAAGCTTCGAGAGGCTCCTGCCCCCTGTGGCTCTCGCTTCTGGCATGGCACTATTTCCAGTAGCAGCTCTGACTCCCGCCAGCTCCAATCCACCCCCCCCCCCCAGGAGGTGGCAGAAGGAGGAAAGGGCTCAGAAAGGTCAGGGAAGGATCCATGGTGGCGCAGTGAATAAGCTCTGGGCTAACAAAAAGGTAGGCGGTAGGTCGCACCAAAAGAAACAATATGGCAGTCTGCTTCCCTAAAGATTTCATTGGAGACCCTATGGGGCTCCACTCCTCTGTCCTATAGGGACTATGAGTGGGAATGAACAGCAACAAGAATAATCACCCCACACTTGAACTCTCTCTAGGAGGTGAAATGAAAAAAAAATAAAAAGGGAATTCTATGCCATGCTGGTAAAGGTTGATAATAACAAGCTCTTTCTCTTCCGGTGTATGTACTTGGCAGTGGGTACAAGAGTTTGTAAGCACCCACTATGAGGGACTTGGGATTAGGTGGTGGTGGTTGTCTGTTGTCCTCGAGTTTCGGACATGGCAACGCACCCCGTGTGTTACAAAGTGAAACTGCTCCATAGGGTTTTCGTAACGCAGTGGAGTCCTGGTGTGGCCTTATGGGTTAATGCATTGGATTGCAAAGTTGGTTTGCATTGCAAGGTCAGCAGCTGCTCCTCAGAACCCCTATACAGGGTTGCTATGAGTTGGAACTGACTCTATGGCACTTAAAAACAACAACAACAACAATCTTAATGGAAGGAAATTGTCACGTCTTTTCCTCTGTGGTTCTAACCACCACCTTTTAGTTTGGAAGAGTCCCTGGCAAATGTACCACCTGGGGATGGAGAGGATTGCTTTAGGTAGAATCAGGAAATTGACACCTTTTTTTCTGATTGCCTGGGTCCACTTGAATTCCATCCTTTCTGCGTCACACCCTTTGCTAGTTACTGCTTTTTCCTCTGCCTCCTGAGGGGTCCAGTCCTGACGGAAGCTTGGGCTTATGTCCACTTGCCCGATACCAATTCCCCCATTTCTTTTGGGGATTCTCTCCTCCTATCTAGTGTAGCAGATGTCATATCATCACTTGTTGGCCCTGCCAGACTCCCAAGGAATCCCCTGGTGATGTGAGTAATCTCAGTGTTGTGGGGCCAAAGAAGATTAAGGAGACATAAAGGAGCTCTGGTAGCGTAGTGGTTACGAATCGGACTGCGAACCTTAAGGTCAGCAGTTCGAAACTACCAGGCGCTCCGCGGGAGAAAGATGAGGCGTTCTGCTCCCATAAAGATTTATAGCCTCAGAAACCCTGAACAGGGTCGCTATGGGTCGAAAACGACTCGACGGCACTTAACAACAACAACAACAGCTTTACTGTTCTCTCCCAGATAATATCTTTCTTGTTTAACCCAAATGAATGACTCCTCCAGCCCACTCTGTAGATACCACAGAAATGGGGAGGACGTGGGTGGGTGGTGATGGTGGTGGTGTGAGTGGAGGTTTGGTGTCACCTTTCGGTAGCACCCTGCCTTACAGAGGCAGACGGGTTACTCAGGCAGCGGACCCTACTGCACTACAGACCCATCTAGCTGATCTGATGAGTTCCACAAGACCTCCCACCCATCTCGGGACTGCCCCCATTCCCCATTGTCAACGCAGAATCTAGCAAAGCCTCTCTAAATTCTAACCTGTTTTTCTTCTTCATTTCCTCCCAGAAAAAACAAAAGCAACTCTTTATGACTCATATAATTTTAATGACACTAACAGATGGTGACATTTCATCAATAACCCTTCTGTTTATAACCTATGGATTAGCTCCTTTCTCCCTCTGCCAAAGTCACCAGGCAGGCAGTGCTACTAACAAATAGCAGAAAATAATTGTCTGTTTAGATGCATAAGCTCTAAACACACTACTGTCCAATGCAAACAGTTAGCTATATTGAACAGCTTCCAAGAGCTGCATGTGACACAGTTGTTGCTAGGGCAGAGAGGAGAGACTGAGGAGGCCTTGCCAACCGTGCTCTCCCTGGGGACTTCATGGCCTCTTGGGGCTCAAGTCCTGCTACAAGTCTTGGAATAGGACCCTAGAATGCTGGAATGGATTCAAATGGTGTCCTGGGAGCTAGGCTGTCAAAGATATTTTAGGGGAAATTCTCTTTGTCTTCTTGCCAAGTGAAACCTTACCCTGGTTCAAGGGAAGACAGCTTGCAGCTGATTAGATAAGCAGAAAAAAACCCAATGCTGTTTCAAGTCTATGTCCCATTTTGCCTTTGCCCAAGCTGTGCCTGCTAGCATGCTCATCAGGCTCCATCCTCAGGGGAGAGGCCGTGGAAGTTAGGACAATGAGTTTACTTTTCCTGGAGTTGTGAATCCTGGCTTTGACCTAGCAACAACCAGCCTACCCTTCCCTTTTCAAGCAGAGAGTGTCCATAGAAAATAAAACCATTCAAAAGGATTCAGAAATAATTGAAATAACTTTGATGCCTGCGGAAGTTTCTTTGTTATTGTTAAGTGCCATTGAGTAGACTCAGACTTATAGTGACCCTGCAGAGAGTTTCCAAGGAGAGGTTAGTGGGTTTGAATGGCCAACTTTGTGGTTAGCAGTCCAGGGTTTACCCTACAGAGCCCCCAGAATTGTGTAAAACCAGGGCCAGCAAGTATTGCTTTGGGGTTATTCAATGTCTGCAATTGGAGCATTAATGGTTCGGTAGAATATCTGCTTTCCATATGGGACACCTAAGGAGTTCTGGTAGCGTAGTGGTTATGAATCGGGCTGCGAGCCTCAAGGTCAGCAGTTTGAAACTACCAGCTGTTCTGTGGGAGAAAGATGAGACTTTCTGCTCCTGTAAAGATTTACAACCTCGGAAACCCTATGCAGGCTCGCTTTCAGTAGGAACTGACTCCACGGCACATAACAACAATACATGTGTGAGACCTGGGTTCAGTTCCCAGCCAATACACCTCAGGTGCAGCCATGTTCACCTACCAGTGGAGGCTTGTATGTTGCTAGGATGCTGAACTTGCATATTGCGAGGTTTCAGCAGAGCTTCCAGACCAAGACAGACTAGGAAAAAAATCCTGGTAATCTGAAAATCAGCCAGTGAAAATGCTATGGACACAATTGTTCCATATGAACCAATCATGGGATGGCACCGGACTGGTTAGTGTTTCATTCCATTATGCATGGAGTCACTATGCCTCAGGGGCCAACTTGGCAACAGCTAAGAATACCAACAACACTCTCTGATATGGAGAGTCTGAGGTTAAAACACAGGACTCTAAGTTCCCATGTGGTGGCCAGTTGTCAAACCTTAAAGGCAGCATGGCAGCTTCCAGAATAGGTAAATAGTAGAGAATTAGAATCCTGTGGTTATGTCTCTGCTCATGCTGTGATACCTTGGACACCATCATCTGAAGCAGTCATGAGTATCTTTCAGGTGAAGAATACTGTGCTAACTTCTATGTCTGTTGTTTTGAGGGAGTTTTGGCCTTAAAAGGGAAGGCAAGACAAATGAGTCCTGGGAATTTATTCTTTATATAATCACACGAATACCTCAGGATATGTGACAAGAGACTGCTGACTATCTTCCATCATCTATTCTGCCCTTCTGCTTTAGTAATAGAAAACTCCCTG